TCTGTAATGGAATACATTTTAAAAGTAACCTTCCCAACACTGCTCTCTGGGGAAAAGCAAGTGATGCTAACAACACAAATAGTGCAACTAATGAAAAAAAATTGAGGGAGGAAGTGTCGCTGTGGCAGGTGATGCGGCAGGTTCAGCTTCAGTTGTATGAGATTAAAGATGAAAAAATGGTGGATGATGGTTGACATAATGTGGAAATACATTTTTCCCCTCCCTGCAGAGAGAGATGTTAGGGTTTGCTAAGAAATCAGAGACCAGCTTCACTTCACTGTACAAACTATAAAAATAGCTGAATCTTTTAAATACATTTAAGGATGGTCTGGAAGCCATTATTCATTATATTCAGACTTTCAATAACTCGCACTATTGGACAATTTAGGCCTTTGTGTCTAGAGGAAGAAAAAGCAGATCATCTTTGTTGCAGATGCTATTTCATGGGATAAGCTGTTGCATTCAAATACTGCTATATTGTTGAAAATAAGAGGACTTAGCAGCTACGTCACTGTACAAAGAGGCATTAGGCAGGGTTGGCCCCTATGTGGTCAGCCATATGCTGTTGCCTTTTAAATCAGCTTAGATGGGGTCTCACAGGTTTAACCTTTGCTGCAGTTTCACATACATGAACTAATGTGCCTGCTTATGCTGATGATGCAGCTGTGTTGATTACTAGTCATAACAATTCTGCACATGATCGCATAAAACACCACTAAAATATGTGAGCACACCCTTTCCAAGAGTTAACTGGTTGAAGAAGGCTCGAGATGTAAATGGCAGCTGGCACTTCCATCTAGGATGCACTGGAGCAGAAAGGGGTGAAAAAAAAATTGTGTTTTTGGAAAAATTATATTCTGAAAAGAAACTGACAGGGTTCAGAGGAGAAAAATCATTGCCCAAACCATCTAGCAACAGTTTGACTATAGGATGAGGTATTTGGTTGTGAATTATTTTGTTGCCACTTGACTGTTGTTGAACCTTCAAGTACACTTTTAAAGGAAATACAAATAGGACTGGCTAACTTTTTCTTGGGAGGATATCATTGGCTCAAATGTGCATTTCTGTTGTCACCTCTGTGTGAAGGTGGGCAGAGTCCAGTGGTTGCTTTTCTCTGAATAGAGTTCATGTAGATTATTGTATCGATTTTGGAGTGATAGAAATGTCCTCTGCAGAGTAACTTGTGGATCACTTGATCTCACTTTCTGAACATATTTATCTGTTGTAGCCACACTATGTACAGGTTGGGGTTGTAAATATGTACAGTAGCTTTCCTTTGTGGGATCAATAAAGTATCTGTCTAATTGTACAAAGCAATTGGTTTATTAAAGAATTAGTTAAAGGTCAAAGTTCTCCTCTTCTCTGAATGTTTATTTTGCTTTTTCTCACCAACTGACTCTCTTTTGTTCTCAGCTTCTGAAGAAACTAACATCTATAGAAAACCACCCATCTACAAGAGACAAGGTTGGTTAATTGGTCAAATTTTTGTGATTTCAAAACCTTTTTTGGGGCTGTGTATCTGTCCAGTTAGTTGATTCTTGTGTTCATTGTAGCATAGTCTTAGTGTGATAGTTCTGTGTGTCTGACTTAACGAACCAGTTACAGAAAAGATCTGAGTTAAAGCTGCAGTATAGATTTATGGACACACTTCTTTGTTGTCTGTAATCTGCTACCTCTGATTAGATTCAGTCTTCTTAGGATTTTCTCAACATGGAAACATTCAGAATAAATGAAAGAATTTCTTCTGGACCCTTACACAGCCTTAAAGTAGCTGCATTTTGACCCATCCCGTTCAGTTAAAAAGTTTATGGTGTGAATTAACTCTAATTTTGTTCCCCAATTTTTCAGCTCTTGTCAGTTGCCCACTAGATAAGTTTCACCTTCTGAAACTAGAAAGGTTGATGGCCTTTGGGTACTGATCACTTGTCCCTGTTAAGTAGGCTTTGGTTGGAATGGGGTAAACGGTCTATGAAAAGCCTAAGAAATACATGTTTAAAATGCAATTTCATAGTGAAGTGAAAAATTATAAAACTACAAGAAATGAACCCAACATAAAGCAAGATGGCAGACACAAAGCAAAGCACCTCTTGGGGTAAACTGACAAACTGACAAAGGGGACTACACACACACACACACACACACACACACACACACACACACACACACACACACACACACACAC